CGGAAAGGGGGGAAAGAGAATGAAAAGTTTAAGATTTGAAAAAACAATCAAGAAAAGGAATAATAACTTGAAAAATAAGTATAATATTAGAAAGCAACAGAAGAGAGGAATACAGAAGAGAGAATTAGAACTAGAGAGACAAGGGGGTAAAAGGGGGAGGGAGAAGAAGAGAGGGAAGGAGGAAAGGAAAATAAGTTATAAAGGACAGAAACAAGATATGGAGAAACAGGGCCTATTTAGAGATAATGGGTGAAAATTTAATTGAAAAAGGGATTCTGCAAAGGTACATAAGATAGTATTGTTATATTAGAAATAGAAATAATTTTAGAAAATATGAAACAATGTATGATTAAAATGATGGATAAAATAGTTATTGTAATCTAGTGAAATGTTTGTTAATAAAATGAAATAAAATGAATGAGAGAATTGAATTAGGAAAAGATGGGAACATTTTAATTATTTAATGTTTTATAAAATATAAGCGAAGAGAAACGGGGAAAAAAAATTAACTATGGAAAGCTTATAAGTGTTCCCAAGGAAGTATGATATTTAATTGAAAAGTAATGTTAAAAATGTTAAGAATGAATATTAATGATAGAATTGAACTGGAATGGAATGAGTGTTTTAATTACATATATTTATAATCACTTTTTAAGAATATAGTGTGTATTTTAAGAATGCACCAAGCAGAATTCGATTGGAAGTTATGTATTATATTGAATGTTATAACCTCAAGGTATATATTGAAGCTTAAATAAGAGTTGAATGGATAAAATTAAAAGATACCAGTTTCAAACTTGATGCCTTAACCACTACACCAAATTGTCTCTTTACAAATTAGTTAAACCCAGCCAAATAAAACAAATTAATGCAACCATAGTAGAAAATCCTATTGTTACTAGGTAAAGGAACCTATTATGAAATTTCTTGGAGCTAACAGTATCTTTCTGGATTTTCTGTATAGAATGGAGCTAGTAAGTTTAAGGGTTTGCTAGTCAAATATGGTTCTAGAATGGTGCAATGTAAGATTACTGTAATCTGAGCCATATAAGGTTTATTTGCTAAAGAAACAAATGCACAAATAAAGCAAGAACTGAAAGAATGAAAAGTTCACCCTTCACTTTCCCAACCTAGAATGAATTTGCCTGGTAACATCCATCTTCCCTAAATTAATATATATGCGCTGTCACTTGTCCAGTACAAATAACTCATGGGAGAGATCACAGAATCAAGGCCGTAGTACTCAGCCAATTCATCTTAAAAGTGTTCTCTCCCCCTCTGTCCCACTAAACCTGGCTTATTCCTTTTGCATGAACCTCATTTGCTCAGGTTTTAACTGCACCCAGTTGCCAGAGGAAGATTGTATGGAAACTACCTGCTTTGCAAAAGTAGGACTCAAAAAATGAACAAATGAATGGAATGATTTACACCCCTCCTTCCATTCAGGAACTCCAGGTGATATTTGTAATGCTTCCTTCAAGTGTCCATTGTTTTTACTTCTGCTCTAGCAGAGTGCAGGGACTGGAAGCAAAATGACAGTGGAAATCTAATGTTACCCCATGAAATCCAGCAATTTTATGAGAATCCTTTCTCATAGAACTCAAGCCTTTTGAACTTGGCTGCGGAAAGGTTTTAATGTTTATCTTCAACACTAACCAATTTGTCCACCAACACAATGAATACAGAGTAGAAATCCCACCCTGTTCTAAAGTACTGTCTAATTCAGGGGTGTCAAACTCGCGGTGTCACAGCGGTGTCATGTGACATACCTCGACTTTCCCCCCTTCCCTAAACTGGGCACGGGCGTGGCCAACACATGATGCATCCAGCCTGCGGGCTGTGAGTTTGACAGCCCTAGTCTAATTGCTTGCTAGTCTTCATGGACAGATGCTCAGATGGATGTACAGCTTTTTTATTTCAGAATACTCTGCCAATTATAGAATGGGGAAAAAAAACATATATAGATGGAAATGCCTCGTCCTCTTTATCTGCCTTTGTCTGCAGGAGGAAGGAGAACTTTTCTGACAGTAAAAACAATTAATCAATGGAATAGCTTGCCTCCTGGAGTTGTGGGTGCTCCATCACTGGAGGTTTTCAAAAACAGACAGGGCGACCATTTGACCAGGATGATATAAGGTCTCCAGGAATTTGACCAGAAACAAAACAGTTTTTTGACCAGAAGATCTGTCAGGTCTCTTCCAGTCCTATGATTATATATTCTGGCTTTTTCTTCTGTTCTGGGAGGACAAAAAGAACTAATCTCTTCAGAAAGAAAATGTCATGCCCCTGTCGGAGTTTGAATCTGAGAAGGAAGATGAACAGCTAACAGGGAGTAGGAGTGTGGCTCCGTTGGCTGTGGAGGAAACTGGGGAAGGGCTGGGCAGAGCAGGAAAGAGGTAGAACAAGGGAGAAGGAGTTCAGAGAAAGACCCAGGCCCACCTAGGGCATGCAGGGAGGAAAAGAGAAGAGAGCAACGTGGGTTGTGTGTGGCTTATGGGGGAGGAAAGGGCCCGATTCCCTTCATTAGCCACACTTGGGGCTAGTGAATGAGAGTTTAAAAGAGTTGCAAGCTGTGTGGCGTCTGCTGGGAACAAACATGAGTTTATCTTGTGTTGATTTTGGTTATCTGTGTTCCTGGCATCCTCCCAACCATGTTGAATTACTGCGTTCCTTCACATCTGAAATTCTTTCTCTTGCCCTGCCAGACTAATTACCTCATCTTGCCTTGATTGGACTTATGGTTACAGTTTTTGTAGACCACGTTTTGGACTTGATTCTCTGCAGCCAAAGGCTGCCCCTGGGAGAGTTTTTCTCCAGCCAGAGGGTAACCAGGACATTGGGGACAAATTTGGAGCTAATAAAGGAACTCCTACTGATTATCTGACTGTGTTGCCTTTGTGCCACGCCCTAGGTCATCACAGAAAAGCATTTCTGAGTTTCTTTGCACTGTTCTGTTCTATGTTCCAAGCCTGCCTGTGACTTCATGATGGTGGTTTATGATACAGAGATACTTACACTGAGAAGAGGACGGGCACCACTGTAATGGTGATGGGGCGCTTTACACATGGCTTGATAATCAAACATCTTCACTCTGCAGAAACACAAAAGTGACCATGAGCTGTTGTGTAGGACAGTGTTTCTCAACTTTGGCGGGTTTAAGTTGGGTGGATTTCAACTCCCAGAATTCCTTAGCAAAGCTGGTGGGGATTCCATTGGAATTTATACTAAAAGCTATCCATTACCCACCCCGATGCTGCTTGATTAGCAATGGCATTTCAAAGTGTTTTTTTCAGAGTTCTGCTCTTCAGGATCCTTTTTAGTGGAAATGGCACAAATTAATCAAGGTATGTATGCTACAACTGCATTATAGTCTCATAGGGGCAAACATATTCTTCTGCCTTGCATATGACTTTAGGCTAGGTTTAAATTCAGTTAATACACAGAGCTAACTTTAGTTCATACTTTAAGCAAATACCTAGAGTACATTTGTGCCACCAGCTGGGTATTGCACAGCAAGATTTAATACTATGTATAATGTGTTATCTGTAATTTTCCAAGAAGAGATTTCTTACTACATTTGCAATGTGCACTTGTAATGTGAAAAATCCTATATATTATTTACCAAAATAACCACAGCTACTATACTATTCACTCCAAAGTCCTGAAAGTCATTTCTGACAAAGAATTGCATCTCAGCCACTTTTCCTACCTAGCTCTAGTGCAGGGGTGGGCAAACTACGGCCTGTGGGCCACATCCGGCCCGTTGGTCTTTTTAATCCGGCCCGCCGAAGATTGGTACAGAATTAAGGTTTGATGTGAATGATTGAATGATTGCATTCATTTGATTTTGACTTGTAATGACAGGCATTTCGACACCAGGTGGCGGCCCGTCTGTCAAATTTTAAAAGTCAATGTGGCCCCCGAGCCAAAAAGTTTGCCCACCCCTGCTCTAGTGGCTGTGTTATTTTCTGTGACCAGACTCAAATTATACTGAATGTTATGCAAGATAGCTCTGGCTGCACTCCTTGTATCTTCTTTGGTTGTATCTACCTGACTTGGACCCTTTGCATATTAGTGTAGGGCTATGTAAGTTATTTTCATCTACAGTGAGTGGCAGTGAATTTTGATGGTTCCAGATAACAGATTTTTCAGAAACATGGCCTTTGAACCTGAAATCCGTGGCAATCAAAAGTTCTATACTATACCAACATAAAACTAGTATTTGTAGGCACCAAACAGATTGAAATAGCAAGGAATCAAGTGGGGATAATCCACAGGGTAACATCTGTCCCTTTCATTCTGATTTTCATGCTGGAACTGATAATATATGAAATGTCCAAGTTTGAAACATGAATAAACCAGAATTGGTTATTCTGATAAATATAGGAATGTTTGAAACTGTTTTCTTGACATCTTGCTAGCTGCATTTCAAAATATGGGTGGTGAAATATATTGATATTAAATATTGCACCTATAATCATGTACTTTGCATTTTGTAGTTGCCAAAGTGAGTGAGACAAGACCTGCAGTTCTTTAGAACAAATATGCATTATAGGGAACATAGCTAACAACAAAACCAGGATTTTATTCATTCATTTATTTATATTCTCCCTTATTTTTAAGGTGGGAAACATATCCAACACACCTTCCTCCTCCTAATTTCCCCACAACCACCCTGTAAGTTGAGTTAGGCTGACAGTGAAAGTTCTGGCCCAAAGTCACCCAGCTGGCTTTCAAGGACTAGAACTCATGGTCTCCTCCTTTCTAGCCTGGTGCCTTAACCACTACACCAAACTGGCTCTTCCACTATTGTCCACTATCTTCATCCTGTCTTTCTTTATTTTAGTCTGTAGTATTATTGAGAATAAAGGACTTTCAGAGCATAAGAAGAGCAACTTAGGTCCCTAGTCAAAGTTCTTGCTTGGGGATCCCAACATCAATTCTCATTTAGAAAACGAGTGGCTACACTGAGAGAACCTATGGCTTGCACCCACACACCCAATACTCTCAGCCATGGTGACTCTGGGGCACCTTCAAAGTGGTGAAAGAACATGGCAGGTGGCCAGAATTTCCGGATCTGAGATGCCAAATCCCAGACAACGACTAAATGGCAGCACAGAGTTCCTGCTTTAAACTCTCTTCTGATGACAATTTTACCCTGCCCCTACCCATTATGCCATTGGGTTCCTCTATAGAGATGTCCTGATCTACACAATTAGCATTGGAAGATTCTGAGTCTAGCTAATTCTCTTGTGTCTATGGGTCTTTAGGCAGTTCCATCCTTGTTTTAATTATATTTATGCTGTGAAGCATTTTGCTTCAGACAGGGTCTTCTTTGAAAAGAGGTGAATATAAGGAAGGGATTATGACACTTACTTTCTGAGCATTCCCATGTTTGCGAGCTGAGTTGTAACAGAACCATCTACTTCTCCCAAGAATTTTCCAAGCTGCAACCACAAGCCAGTATGATATAAAAATAGAGTTTCTGGAGAATTTTTAAATCATAGGTTTTGTTTTGCAGGGCATTCTTAAGCAGATGTGTTTAATATTCACCAATAACACAATAGCAATACAATAGGCTAAATAACAGTAATAATACAACAGGATAAAATAGATTGTTATCCTTGGTTTGAATTGGCTTTTAAAAAAAGTGTCTTAGCGTATTGCAAACAAGTCTTTTGATTTGTGTATAGTTCAGTATATTTTGTGAAACTGAAAAAGGGTTAATTTAGTAACCAGGTTTATAGATGTTGTGTGAATGTTGTCAGGCTGCAAGGCGAAGTACTTACTGATTATTATGTAGCAAACCCTTTAAGGTCATAATGTTCCACTATGTACTTAAATTGTTTGGGGGGAAAGTGAAAGCATAGTAGGACACATTAAATTGAAAAAAACTGAGATCCATGCTCAGTTTAGCTTTGAATTCACTATCTATGTTCTTGTAATCAGGCTGAGTAAATTTGCAAATGACACCAAATTTGCTAAACCTGTTAGAGTTAACATTTTGTGGTTGACTGGGCTTGTTAAGCAAATCCAGTTCATTGGTTAACATACCCAGAAAATGAGTAAATCTGTACAGTTTGCTGGTTGGAGGATGCTGTATGAACACAGTGTAAGACTTCAGATCATTGGAGACTGAGGCAAGCTTTAGACAAACCATTATGTGTTGCCTTCAACGTGCAAGATAGTAATAATGGCCTACTTTGTAACGATGAAGGAGAGAATAAATGCAAAGAGTTTGAACACTTGATGTATTATTCAAATAGTGCTGCTTCTGCTGAGATGGAAGGTATCAAAGCAATTAAGCTATTTTGTTCAAATCTCCTTGTAGTTTAAGGTCATTTTAGCCCAGGGAAGTTTTTGATGGGATAGGAAGCATGCACCCTACTTAACATCCTTGTGTTTTCCAGTTCTAATACTGGAAAGGCTCTGCAACCTTCTTCCTTTTCTTACCTTTTCTTTGCCCAGATCTTTACATTGCAGCAATATTGTGCTTGAATCATATTAGAATATTATTATAATGCATTAGTATGTGGATAAGATCTCTGACATCAATCAAAACATTTTGTTTACTCAAGATACATTTAGTCTGACTTGGCTTTGTCAAAGTAGGAGTTGACAGGTTCCTTAAAACTCTTCAGTACTTACTTATATGCATCTAAACATAGTTTAAAAAAACAGGTACTTTTGTCCTAGCAGTTAAGAAGCTGAGTTTGCTGATCAAAAGGTTGGCAGTTCAACACCCAAGTACCGCATGATGGGGTGAGCTCCCATTCCTGCCCTAGCTCCTGCCAACCTAGCAATTCAAAACCATGCAAACACAAGTAGATAAGGTAATTGGTGAAAAGGTAATTGCGTTCCATGTGCCTCGGCATATAGTCATGCCAGCCATATAACCATGGAAGTGCCTTCAGACAATGTTGGTTCTCTTGGCTAAGTAATGGAGATGAGCACCATTCCCATTGGACATGACTGCACAGGGGAAATTTTTCCTTTTATCTTTACTTAGTGTTGAGACACCACAGAAGGAATTTTGCACGTAACTCCATGCCATTCTTCCTAACAATGAAAACCTACACTTTCAATGTGAGATGGTATCTCAGCCATGGTAGTCTAATGGCAAGCTTTGTTTCACTGGGGCTTTGAGTGCCATGACAGGGTTGCACTCCAAACATTGATGGGATATGACAAAGTATATACAGCTAGGACAAGAACAAAAATTGATGTATTTATTTGATCCTTCCATTTCAAATGATTAAATGCAGGTGACATAATTACCTCACATGTAATGAATATTTCTCATTTTCTGCAATAAAAAAACCAGGTGGCATTCAGTATTGTATGTCAGGCTTTGCAGGAGGGTAAATGTGAGCAACCTTGGAAATACAGGTAATGATCCAGTGATGGTGAACCTATGGCACATGTGCCACAGGTGGCACGCAGAGCCATTTGTGCAGGCACACGAGCCCCAGCCAAATGTACCTCACTGCGCATGCACGCACCTGCCAGCTGATTTTTGGCCCATTTGAGGCCTTTTTTGGTCTCCCAGAAGCCTGAGGGAAGCCTCTGCAGCCTTTAGAGGCCGAAAAACAGGCCCGTTTCATCACTTCCTGTATTTCTGGAAATACAGGAAGTGATGAAACAGGCCCATTTTTCGGCCTCCAAAGGCTTCCTTGCAGCCTCTGGGAGGGTGAAAAAGGCCTCAAAGGTCAAAAATCAGCTGGGAGGCATGCACATGCAGCGCAAGTAAGGGGGCGGGGATTGCATGCGCATGTGCAGGGGCCATGCCCCCCCCACACACATTGCCTTCTGGGTGCTGGCAAGCGAGCGCGCACGCATGCACAATTTTCGGTAGAGGAGCCCAAAAAGGCTAGCCACCAATCTCCTAGTCTGACCGTTTTATTCAGTCTTTCTCCTGATAACTAAGATCAAGAGCCACTCATTCATTCCTTCTTACCTGTTTGGAGATTTTGGAAACAAGTATGAATCCATTGTTATCAATAAGGTAGCAATTCAATTTCTGCAGGAGGAAAAAGACAGATTCTTCAGAAAAAAGGTTAAACTTTGGGGAGAAGATTTAGGTCAAGAATAGACCCCAAGAGTAGCATTTCCATGTTGAGGGGTGCATTCCTGCAAGAATAATCTGTTGGAGGCATCCCTATGGGAAAGACCAGGTAGGGGTGAAACAAGCCATGGAGTGACCAGAATCAAAATAGGTGGGATTAAGCATTCTCTTTTTATGGCACCTCTTTTAACTTTCTCTCTCCTGAAAACTACATAAAGGTAGACTAAGGGTTAACAATCTCAACACTTTTAGATGAGAGGCTCAGTTTAGATCTCTGGCAAGAGCAGTCTTTCGGTTGGTCAACTATGGACTAGGGAGAAGGATAGGAAAGGAAAAAAAGAAAAAGAAAGAAGGAAAGGAAAGGAAAGGAAAGGAGGAAAGGAAAGGAAAGGAAAGGTAAGGAGGAAAGGAAAGGAAAGGAACAAGGAAGGAGAAAAGATGAGTTTTAGCCATTTTGGGTTTTACCCTACCCATGTTGCTTTTCACCACTCCTTGAGTCCATCATAAGTATAATATACTAGAAGGAATACAACATTTACTGAAAATAAAAGGTTCTACAGCCTTTATCTTTTTATGTCAATGAGGCAGACCTATGAAAAACTATTTATTTACACTTGTTTATCAGATTTCTACATACCTTCATCTGGAATGACTCTAAGCAATCTAGATAAAATAATATTTTAAATGCAACAATTCTGCATAACAAAAACTATGGTTGGCCCTAACTTTGGTCTCCATAGGCCTTCCAAAGTGCCCTGGCTTCTTGTGTCTTTGGAAACCTCTAAGAATCAGGGGGAACATTATTTTGGGAGAAAATAGAGAGCTCCCCCCAGAGAATGCTCACTTTCATGATTTCTCCTATTTCAACTCACAACTATTTGGGATTTTCAGCCTGCTATCCACCATCATATCTAATCTGATTTTCAGGTAAAGCAGTCATGCGATGCTCTATAAATAACCATCTTTTGTTATCCCAGTCTCATTTGTAAAAACATCATAAGAAAGACAAGCAGTAGGTGAATAGTGATGCTGGCTCCCCTCTTAGGCTGGATTCAGGCTGCCTATACAGGGTGAAAGTATTTATTTATTTTGTCAAGCAATTATAAGATAACAGGTATAAGTATAAACATAGTTATGAATACATGAAATGGATAAATATAAGAAAAATAAAAAGAAACAATAGGACAGGGACGGTAGGCACATTGGTGCGCTTATGCATGCCCCCTACAGACCTCTTAGGAAAGGGGTGAGGTCAATAGTAGACAGTCTAAGGTTAAAGTTTTGGGGGTTTGGGAAAGAAACCACAGAGTCAGGTCGAGTATTCCAGACATTGACCATTCTGTTGCTGAAGTCGTATTTCCTGCAATCAAGTTTGGTGCGGTTTACCTTTAGTTTGTATCTATTGTGTGCTCTTGTATTATTATGGTTGAAGCTGAAGTATTCATTGACAGGACATTGGAATGTATAATTTTATATACTATACTTAGATCGGACCGAAGGCGGCGTAGTAATAGGTTTTCTAGGTCTAGAATTTCAAGTCTGGTGGAATAAGGAATTCTGCAACGAGTAGAGGAGTGGAGAACTCTTCTTGTGAAATATTTCTGGACAAAGTAAATTTGGCCCTGAACCACTGAATTACAGATATGAGCAAAACCAAAGTCTGAGCAACTTACATCATCACGGCAGTTCATTGGACAAAAGCCTTCCACATTATTACACTGTAAAAGAAGAGAAAGAGTTTAAATAATTTCTTATTTTAAGATGCGTTTTCCTGAGCTGAACTTCATCTGGATTTATGGAATATTCCTGTCTAATTCTAGTATTGCTCATATTATTCAGGTGGATTAAAAAGAACTTCCTATCATAGTGTTCCTCTGACTGGGTCCATCCTGATTACTTTGACCACTAGCAATAACAATAAATATCAGCAACACTGACCATGAATCTGGTAAGTATTTAAATATTTGTTTATTTGGGGATACAAGTAATATGCAAGATATTTATGGAAAAGACTGGGTTGCAATTGAAATGTTGATGTTTTTACTTATTAAAAAAAAGTCCCTTATGGAATAATACTGTAATAAAAATAGCTGGTAAATCTTTGAGTAAATCTGGGCTTTTTATAACATTGTATTTACCTGATAAGAAAATAAGGTTTCTACCCGAAACTATAATCTGTGAATCAGATCATCCTAGACTGGCTAAAAACAATGTTGAAAACAAGCAAAGGGATACAAGTATAAATGCTACACATATCCCTGCTGAGAAGCCCCGAAGACTCGGGATTACAGGTACTCCTTGATTTACAACTAGTCCTTGATTTACAACCATTTGTTTAGCAACTATTCAAAGTTACAATGGCACTGAAAAAATAGCAACAGCAATAGTAGCACTTAGACTTTCACAGTGTGTTACTGTTGTTGTTCGCCGGCAGCCTGTGCAGATGGCAGCGGAATCGGACAGTGAGGAAGAACGGGGACCAGTCCGGGAGTCTGGAGAGGACTCGGACGAGGGTCCTGCATCCAATGCAGAGATGGGGCCAGGATCATTTGGGAGTGGGGTGCTGACTCTGGAGCCTCCGGAGTCTGGCAGCAGCGAAGCAGAGGAACAAGGAGAGCATGTGCATGTGTGCAGAGAGCTGCTAGAAGGTGAGAGCAGTTGAAACAAAAGGAGCAACTCAGGAGTAAGGCTGGGAAGTGATTGCCCCTCCCATTATGTATAAAGGACAGGCAAAGATGATGAAACCTTTGCAGGAAGCAAAGTCATTTGTTCGGTTCAAACTCATTCTTAAAGCTCTTTGTACTTTGGCTGATTTTCTTTCTAGTTCATTTGACACTTCTGTTGTTGGCAGCACTTCACAGGAAAGCAAGGTGGGTGCTTATCTCGAAGGACTGTTTGAGATTCATTACCAGCTGGGAATGAAAATAATTCCCAGCATTGCAATAAAACAAGACTTGTTTTTAAAATAAGCGCGTGTGTAATTACAGTCTCAGAAGCCTTGGTCAGAACAGTTACAGCCCTCTTTAAGCAATTTATAGTGTCCGCATATTGCCCTCAACAATCTGGGTCCTCATTTTACCCACCTTGGAAGGACGGAAGGCTGCGTGTGAGATTCAACCTGCCAAATTGCAGCCAGCTGGCAGTCAGCAGAAGTAGCCTTCAGTACTGCACTCTAACCACTGCGCCACCCCGGCTCATCAAAAAGCGACTTATGACTGGTTTTTGCACTGATGATCGTCCCAGCATTCCCATGGCCACGTGATAGTATTGGCTTCTTGGCAACCAGTATTTATTTACAACGGTTGCGGTGTCTCAGAGTCAGGTGATCATTATTTGCAACCTTCCCAGCTGGTTTCCGACAAGCAAAGTCAATGGGGGAAGTTGGGTTGGCTTAATGACTGCATGATTCACTTAACCACTCCAGTGATTCACTTAGCAACCATGGCAAAAGAGGTCATAAAATTGAGTGTGACTCACTGAACTACCAACTTGCCTTGCAATGGAAATTTTGAGCACCAATCGTGGTTGTAAGTGGTATACTGTACTTACGATGTGTTACTTACCTGGAGACTTTTATCCTTTTTGCAATATCTCTGCTTTCCTTCTTTCTTTCTCTCCTCGATTAACTTTCCTTTTTTCTACATCTCCACCCAGATTTGTTCCCCCACCTTCACTCTCTTCCCATTGCAGCTACAGATTCATCTCACCCTATTTTTATCCTATTTCTGTGTCTGTGTTTATCTGTTCAAACAGTGTGCCCTGGATATTAGTGCTCATGTGACACAGTAACACTTGTTAATATCAAGTCCTTAAAGTGATTGGCCCAGAATAAAAAGCATTTCCACCAAGAAAAATACCCAACAGTGGGCCTAACACAAGGCCAGAGAGCAGCCTTAATCAGAAAAAACATTTGAGCTCCTGGAATCTATGATAAAATGAGGTATCCACCAAGCATTTAGAAAGGAAATATCTATAAGGTGCTCTACATATAGAAGACACTACATACAGGGGTGGGATTCTACCAGTTCACACCTATTTGCTAGAATCAGTTGTTAACATTCTAAGCAGTTCGGAGAACTGGTTGTTAGAAGAAATTACTGGCCTAATCCTGTAAGGAAGGAAGGAAGGAAACATTCTGATGTTGCTTACAGAAACTGCCTCTCTGTTAACCCTTATTACATTCTGGCAGGACTAGACTTCCTGTCTCAGGAACTTCTCTGGAGTTTTTTTTCCCCCTCCTTCGCTGGTACTTTGCTTGTGTGGAATGACCGTTCAAAGTTACAATGGCACTGAAAAAATGACTGTTTTTCACACTTATGACTGTTGCAGCATCCCTACAGTCACGCCAAGCGAGGAGATGTGTGCTTCGATGTGAGTGATATTGAGTTGGCCACGCCCAGCCAATAACATGACTACCAAGCCACGTCCACCCAGTCACATGACCACCAAGCCACGCCCACCAACTAAGCCACGCCCACAGAACCGGTTGTTAAAAAATTTGAATCCCACCTCTGACTGCATATATTCTCGGTGATCGCTGGCTATATGCGCTAGCCAGGATGCAGCATTCAGAGTCGACAGGACAGCTTAGAGCAGTGATGGCTAACCATTTCATCGTCACATGATGAAAGTACACGCACGCATGTGCCTGCGTGCCTGTACCCATAATGCCAGCACGCATGACCCCCCACACCCCCTGCATATGCGCATGCACCCCCCACATGCTGTGCACCTCTGCACATGTGCGCATGACCCCCCGTGTGCACCACGCACCTCTGCGCATGCGCGTGGCTCCTGCGTGCGCCCCCCCATGCATGCGCAGCAGATACCTGACAATCGGCTGGCTGGCGGGAGGCGTACACGTATGTGCAGTGGCGATGGCTCACATGCTGGCAGAAATGGCTCTGTGTGCTACTTCTGGCATGCATGCCATAGGTTCGCCATCACAGGCCTATAGAAATCTAATCAATAGGCTCTCTTCCTTTGTTTGAAGTACAAATACATGGACAGTCAAAAGGCTGTCAAGTTTATAGTTAAAGCCATTCAACCAAGAACTTCCTCCCAAGATCAGATTGGGGTCAATAGATAAGGAGATGAACTTCTATTTTGCTGAACACAAATACGTTGTATTGATTTTACTCGGTTTTACTGGCGTTATGATCTGAGATGATTGCTCGACTAATTATCAGAAGACAACTACTTGCACATTGTTGCATGATCACACCCAGGGAGTCACTAAGAGCAGAGTTTAATTTCAAGGAGACATTACTTACTTCGTGTTTTACAAAAATTAATAACAATAGCATGATCACAGAATTCCAGAATTAGAAGGGACTGTAAGAATAATTTAATTCCAAACCCTGCAATGGGTAGGAAAGCCAATTAAACGATCCATGAGAGGTGGCTATCAAGACTCTGCTTCAAAATCTCCAGAGATGGAAAGCTCACAACGTCCACAGATCGATGATGGTGTTGATGATAGTGGTGGTAGTGGTGACGATGATTCACAGAAAGCAAGTGGTATCAAAGAAAGGGATGAAAAATATTTTTTTAGAAAAGCTACTACAAGTTTTTGGCAATCTTTCTAAAATCAGGGACACTATAAGAGGCTTCAGAGAGGTGTGGGGAGAAGTTTTGTACACGTGGTACACTGGATATCCAATCAGAAATATTTATTGAATTTTCTGCAGCACATTTTAATTATTTTGCAGACAAATACTGGAATAGCAAACAGGCTACGAGAATATGATTACCACAATCAGTTTTTGTCTTTAGGAAATATTTTGTCTTTAGAAAATAAAATTTTTATCTTTAAATAATGAGGTGGCTTTTAAAAAGAGAGGTTTCCTCCATTCAATTTAGTATCATCTCTGGGAAAAATAATGTAAAATGAATTTGTTTGATACAAACATTTACTTGTTTGTGTGGGTAAACCAAGCCATTAAGCTGGCCATAAAACTTTCTAATTTTGTAATAAAACCTTCTATATTATGAAATGCATCAAGAAGCTATGAGAACCAGAATTGAGATGTAGTTGCAAATCAGCTTTTAGAGTGACTATCCCATCCTTCTGATTAACAAAGAGGAATGCAAATATTTCCTAAAGACAAAAACTGATCGTGGTAATCATATTCTCGTAGCCTGTTTGCTATTCCAGTATTTGTCTGCAAAATAATTAAAATGTGCTGCAGAAAATTCAATAAATATTCCTGATTGGATATCCAGTGTACCACGTGTACAAATTAGTATGTCCTTCATATATAGCAGAGGTCTCCAAACTTGACAACTTTAAGAGTTATGGATTGCAACTCCCAGAATTTTTCAGCCAGCCATGCTGGCTGGGGAATTCTGGGAATTGAAATCCACGAATCTCAAAGTTGCCAAGTTTGGAGATCCTTGATATAAACTTTAGTTTTCCTTAATATATTTAGGATTCGTTCTGTCTACCCTTATACTGACACATCAAAGCATCTCAGGACATGTAAAAATCTGGAAAGCAAGCATCTGGCTTTCAGAAGCTGCATATTGATGATGCTCAAGTACTCTGTGTTATTATGGGTTTTAAGATTTTTAATATGTTTAGCTTCTGAGGGAGGATCTATTGCAGAGTAAACATCCCTTAAGGAGAGGGAATGGCATTGTGATGGAGACTGGTAGCCAGATGGCATATTCAGGAAGGCGCTATCTTTCCAGAAAAGAAGAGATCGTGAAAATATACAATTCAAAAACAGGTTTTTGTGGTCAGCTCAGGAATTGAGTGGCTGGGAGTTGAGGGATTTCAATCAGGTTCACAGCCATGATGCAGGCTCCATGGACAAAAGCATCACTTTCTTATCCACTTTCAGATGTAATCGATTTACAGCTAAAGAGAGATTTTTCTGAGTGGCAGGATAAAAGTAATCCACTTAATGATTTTTGGTGGATTAAAAAGGACAAAGAGGATTTTAAAGATTTAAAAACTTTTAACAAAAAGGTTAACAAGAAGTAGATGTAAGAAAGTTTACAACCGATAAAGGAGATAGTTGTGTGTGTGTGTGTGTGTGTGAAACTGATTTTAAATTAATTGGAATTAAAATAGACAAGCAAACCAGACCTGCTTGAAAATGTTTTTAATTGCTATTAAGAAAGTAAGCAATTAGTGAATTTTCACTTTTTTTAAAAAAGAGATAAAAATAATATGAGCTAAACTGTGATGCTCACACTACAAAGTACCATTTGGATAAAAGTATTAAGGTGAGGTGGGCAGTTGGAAAAAAGTCATGATTTTTTTTGTATATGATAACTGCACCAAGATTATTGTATGTCCAAAGATGGGGTGGGGTGGGGATTGGTAAAACTTACAATGGAGGAACGGTTGGCAAAGATGACAGAATTTACTGAGAGGGCCAAATTGACTTCTTTAAATAGAGAAAAGACAATATATTTATTGCTGACTGGAAACCCTTTATGGACTTTTTGTCGAAAACAGAAAAAAATGAAGTTACGATTTATGGTTTTGATGATTAGACAGGATAAATTATAGAAAGAAGAGAGACGTAGCTTTAGAGAAAGATAAATGTATAACTTATAACAGGGGTGGGATTCAATTTTTTTAACAATCGCTTCTGTGGTTGTGGCGTAGGTGGTGGGCGTGGCTTGGTGGTCATGTGACTGGGTGGTCATGGCTTGGTGGTCATGTTATTGGCTGGGTGTGACCAACTCAATATCACTCACATCGAGGCACGCATCTCCTCGCCTGGCCTCTCATGACTGTGGGGATGCTGCAACAGTCGTAAGTGTCAAAAATGGTCATAAATCACTTTTTTCAGTGCCATTGTAACTTTGAATGGTCACTCCACACAAGCAAAGTACCTGCAAAGGAGGGAAAGAAAACTCCAGAGAAGTTCCTGAGACAGGAAGTCTAGTCCTGCCAAGAATGTAATAAGGGTTAATGGAGAGGCAGTTTCTGTAAGCAACATCAGAATGTTTCCTTCCTGCCTTTCTTACAGGATTAGGCCTGTAATTTCTTCTAACAATCGGTTCTCCAAAGTGCTTAAAATGTTAACAACCGATTCTAGCGAATAGGTGTGAACTGGTAAAATCCCACCCCCGGTTTATAATTTAGAAAGGTACTTATAACTTCTATAAAGATCAGGAGCCAATTCTTTGCATCTTTTTTCTTCCCTATTTTACTTTTTTCTTTTCTTGCACATTTAGTTTTCTCTTTGATTTCTTTTTTTTCTTTTCTTAATTTTATATTAGTTTATAATTGTCTTTAAAAAAAATAATAAGAACTTTCAGACTTGCAAGATTTACATCAGCCTTCCCTGGAAGATCAGACAGAAAACACAACCAGATGAGATAACAATCCTATTTTATTGTAAGGCTATCTTAACAGTCTTGCAGGTCTGAAAATACAAGCCTCCTGCTGTCTCTTTATAGCCTGATAAGTTAGGAAGGATCTTATCTGAGTTTCTTTAGCAGCTATGGGCTCCCCGTCCCCTTTTGTCTGATCATTCCCTAGGCAGCATCTCCCTCTCCCCCACCCAGTAATTCAAACATGCCATTACAGCTTCATATTTTAGTTCTGCAATGCATAACAATCCCACATTTGCAAAGATAGTTATACAAAGCTGAGTTCAGTTGCCTGAGTCTTAGATTTGTTAAGGAGCTTTTTGTAATCTTTGCAGTCAGATTCCTACTGGGGTTGATACTTTAAGACTTTTTCCCTCCCACAGAATTTGTAGAGTGTTTGGCTGCATTATTTTATATATATTTGAGATTTAATCAGTTTTAAATCTGTTTCTATTGTGCCAGTTCCCAGTCTTTAGCAACTTAATCTGATTTGTCTGTACTATTTGGGTATACAAAGAAGAACATTGAAACCCCACATCTCGCACACAAAGGACAAAACAATAATCAAAGCTTAGTGTTGCATATATATTCCATAGGTACTCTGGAATATTTTGGTCTTTAAATCTTTTTTACTTACATCCGTATCATTGGGCTGCATAGAAGCAACATAAAACAGAAAGAAGAGAGAGAGAGAGAGAGAGAGAGAGAGAGAGAGAGAG